CTTTATAGTTATATTTTTTGCTTTTTGCAAACTAAGTGATATTCCAGTATATTTATACGTCAAATTATATTTACTGAGTAATTTGGTGACAGAAATTTGCATTGCTTGTACCTACTAGCTTTCAGTGACACTGCTGCAATAATTATGGGTATGCAAGTCACTCTTTGTATGACCGAATATGTGAAAGTTTATACATGTTCTGCATTCTACTTTCTTAACTTTATATTCCTTTTTGTTGTTGGCTTACAGTATACTTAATTAACTCTGTATTCTTACAAAATTATTTTAGTTCTGTAGCTTTGCAATGTGTTTTGAAATAAGAAACTCGTACCTTCAGCAATTTTCTTTTTCTTTTTTTTTTAAAGACGGGGTTTCACCGTGTTGGTCAGGCTGGTCTTGAACTCCCGACCTCAGGTGATCCGCCTGCCTTGGCCTCCAAAGTGCTTGGATTACAGACGTGAGCCACCACACCTGGCCTACCTTCAGCAATTTTCTTGTTTTGAATATTGTTGGGTATTTTATTGTCTCTTGAGATTTCATATACTTTTGGAGTTGTTTCTATTTTTTTGAAAAATTTGAAAAACATTACGTTAACTCTGTAGATTACATTGAGCAATGTTAGTTATTTCAACCTTTGAACAATAGCATACTCAAAAGTGTGTCAATTTCTATGTATTTGTGAATTTTTCCATTTTTTTCTATTATTGTTTTATACTCTCATTGCATTTTGGTCATAGAAAGTAACCCATATAGTTTCAGTTTTAAAAAATTTATTGGGCCGGGTGCGGTGGCTCAAGCCTGTAATCCCAGCACTTTGGGAGGCCGAGGCGGGTGGATCACGAGGTCAAGAGATCAAGACCATCCTGGTCAACAAGGCGAAACCCCGTCTCTACTAAAACTACAAAAAATTAGCTGGGCATGGTGGCGCATGCCTGTAATCCCAGCTACTCGGGAGGCTGAGGCAGGAGAATTGCCTGAACCCAGGAGGCGGAGGTTGCGGTGAGCCGAGATCGCGCCATTGCACTCCAGCCTGGGTAACAAGAGCGAAACTCCGTCTCAAAAAAAAAAAAAAAAAAAAATTATTAAGACTTCTTTTTTGACCTAACAGGTGGTTCTTTCAAGGGGAGTGTTTTATGAGCTAATGAGAAGGGTGTGTATTCTGATGTTGAGCTCTCTTTACCTTTAATGTTGAGAAATAATTGTTTTATACTGCCTTCAAGTTTTGTTTCCTTACTAGTATTCTTTTTTTTTAAATTACTGAAAATGGGTTATTGAAATATTCTACTATAATTACATTACTCTCTGTGTGTTTCTGCAGTGCTGTCAATGTTTGCTTTATGTATTTGGAACCCTAATATGAGATACGCATACACATACAAATTTGTTGTAGGCTTCCAGTGACTGAATCCATTATTTTTTAATGTCCTTCTTTGTCTCTTTGGAGTTTTGACTTAAAGTACATTTTATTATAAATGACAGGTTTTGACTTAACTTGTATCTGTGTAATATTATTTTGACCTCTTCTTCTCTCATTTGGTTAATATTTACAAAAAAATTCTACTTTTATCTTGGCACTTTCAGTCTTTTTTTATTATTAGATCTCAACTGACTTATGGAAAGGCAAGCTTGATTGGAAAGTTAATTATATATAATATATGTCTATTATGTAATTTGTATATAAATTTTATTTATATAAATAATTTTCTGACAGAAACATGAATGTTATTTTATTAATTATTTTATTAGATTCTTGTATCTTTGTCTTTCATTTTCTCTCTGTCTTCCTTTTTTCACTTTATATTTTTTGCATTGATATGCTTTCAATTCTCTCATATTTTCTTTCATATATCTATACAGATATTTCCTTTATGGCACCTTTGAGATTACATACAAACTCTAAAAGTTAAAACAGTTTCTGTAATCCCAGCACTTTGGGAGGCCGAGGCGGGTGGATCACAAGGTCAAGAGATCGAGACCATCCTGGTCAACACGGTGAAACCCCGTCTCTACTAAAACTACAAAAAATCAGCTGGGCATGGTGGCGCGTGCCTGTAGTCCTGGCTACTCAGGAGACTGAGGCAGGAGAATTGCCTGAACCCAGGAGGCGGAGGTTGCGGTGAGCCGAGATCGCGCCATTGCACTCCAGCCTGGGTAACAAGAGCGAAACTCTGTCTAAAAAAAAAAAAAAAAAAGTTTTAATCTGGTAAAAAATTAACTTCATTTGCATACAAAAATTCTTCCTCATTACATCTGCTCTCAAGTTTGATATTCATGTTGTTAATTATATCTTATGTTAACACTCATTAACAGATGTTTATGATCACTTCTATGCTGTTATCTTTCAAATTTTAGAAAATGATTGGCCGGGCGCCATGGCTCACGCCTGTAATCCCAGCACTTTGGGAGGCCGAGGTGGGCGGATCACAAGGTCAAGAGATAGAGACCATGCTGGCCAACATGGTGAAACCCCATCTCTACTAAAAATACAAACAATAGGCCGGGCGCGGTGGCTCACGCCTGTAATCCCAGCACTTTGGGAGGCGGAGGCGGGTAGATCACGAGTTCAAGAGATCGAGACCATCCTGGTCAACATGGTGAAACCCCGTCTCTACTAAAAATACAAAAAATTAGCTGGGCATGGTGGTACGTGCCTGTAATCCCAGCGACTCAGGAGGCTGAGGCAGGAGAATTGCCTGAACCTAGGAGGCGGAGGTTGCGGTGAGCCGAGATCGCGCCATTGCACTCCAGCCTGGGTAACAAGAGCGAAACTCCGTCTCAAAAAAATAAATAAATAAAAATATTAGCCGGGCATGGTGGCACGTGCCAGTGGTCCCAGCTACTCGGGAGGCTGAGGCGGAAGAATCACTTGAACCCAGGAGGTAGAGGTTGCAGTGAGCCAAGATTGCGCCACTGCACTCCAGCCTGGCGACAGAAAGAGACTCCACCTCTTAAAAAAAAAGAAAATGATTAAAAATGTTTTCTGCCTCATTATGATAATGCTAAAGAATGCTATTATTGTGCATGTACATATCTTTCCCAGAAAATTATGTTTTTTTGGTATGGTTTTGTGTTGTTTTCTTACATTAACGTTATTTGCAGTGGAAGGAACTCCTTTCAGGATCTTTGAAATGTAGGATATATGCAGTGCCAATATTCTTTCTTAGGATTAGGTTATTTTGGAAGGTCTTTTATTTTGATGTGGTAGGCCAAGTTTGTTATTTGTGTTATTCTCACTGAACAGCTATTTTTTTTCAAGACTTTGACTATATCACCCAGTTCCATTCAGGTCTTCCAAATTTTCTTAAAAGTTCACTGTTTATCTCATAAGACTATTCTTGCAAATGACACATCATTTTATCTTACAGTTCCCAAGATTCTCTTCTTGTCTCTGACTTTTTATCTCTATAATTTGTGTTTTTTGATATTATTATTTTTGTTATTATTTTTCTGATTTTCAAGTTGTCTTTTTTTCTATTTCACTCATTGTGTAATATTATTTTAAATTTTTTTTTTTTTTTTTTTTTTTTTTTTTTGAGACGGAGTTTCGCTCTTGTTACCCAGGCTGGAGTGCAATGGCGCGATCTCGGCTCACCGCAACCTCCACCTCCTGGGTTCAGGCAATTCTCCTGCCTCAGCCTCCTGAGTAGCTGGGATTACAGGCATGCGCCACCATGCCCAGCTAATTTTTTGTATTTTTAGTAGAGACGGGGTTTCACTATGTTGACCAGGATGGTCTCGATCTCTTGACCTCATGATCCACCCGCCTCGGCCTCCCAAAGTGCTGGGATTACAGGTGTGAGCCACCGCGCCCGACCACATCTTCATATTTTTATGATTGCTTACCGGAAGTTTGATAATGTTTTTGATGGGCCATGTTGCCCTAATATTTTGTATATATTCTAATTTTTGAGATTTGGATATTGAAAACAAGCTACCTGTCACCGTCTTTATAATTTATGTAGCTTTGTGCTGGCACAGCCTGAAACCAATTGTCTTGCCTAGACATTTTGGAAGTCTCTCAAACATGTTCTTAGAATGTGTCTTGTCTAAAATTCTGTGTTTTTTTTTTTTTTTTAATAAAGAAATATGTTAAGGCCGGGCGCGGTGGCTCAAGCCTGTAATCCCAGCACTTTGGGAGGCCGAGGCGGGTGGATCACGAGGTCAAGAGATCGAGACCATCCTGGTTAACATGGTGAAACCCCGTCTCTACTAAAAAAATACAAAAAATTAGCTGGGCATGGTGGTGCGTGCCTGTAATCCCAGCTACTCAGGAGGCTGAGGCAGGAGGATTGCCTGAACCCAGGAGGCGGAGGTTGCGGTGAGCCGAGATCGCGCCATTGCACTCCAGTCTGGGTAACATGAGTGAAACTCCGTCTCAAAAAAAAAAAAAAAAAAAAAGAAAAAAAGAAATATGTTAGTGTTTCTTCTTAATAGTAATCACTCTCTACACCTGTTCCCTGTCTAAGGTGCTGCAGTCTCTCTGCTGCTGTTTAACACTTAACTTTGGTCTAAACAGACTCAAACTGTAATTCCAAATTATACCATTTCCTTTTGGCACTTTATGTCATGGGAGACGGATACAGACACCAGTGTCTGGAAAGGGCCCTAGAAACCAGAAAGAAAGATGTATGTGCCACTATTTTTTTGTCTTTTAAAAAAGAAACCAGGAATTTGCAATTTGCTTCTGAAAACATCATGTTATATTGGGGAGCAGAAAGAGCTGTGTTGGGTAAATTTAACAGACTTTTTTTTTTCTTCTCTGGAGCTCTTTGCATTATGCTCACCTGGGGCACTGCACACACTTTATATTTATAAATTTTTTTACAAATGTATTCTGGTCAGAATGTTTTATTACATTTATTTGTCTACATGGATTTAGGACCTGTGGTATATTGCTGTGCCATCTTACTTACATAGTTTGTATAGTATAGATTAGATTTGTAAAGTATATTCATCTGAATCTAGTAAATAAAATAATTTGTTATTTTTATTTCTTTCAGTTTTGAGTTATTTTCCCAAAGACCTTTGGCTGGAGCAAAACATAAAAAATTCCTTCCAACAAGAGATACTGACAAGATATGGAAAATGTGGACATGAGAATTCACAATTAAGTAAAGGTCGTAAACGTGTGGATCAGTGTAACGTACACAAAGGAAGTTATAATGGACTTGACCAATGTGTGACAACATCTCAGAGTAAAAAATTTCAATGTGATAAATATGTGGAAGTCTTTCATAAATTTTCAAATTCAAGTACACATAATATAAGACATACTGGAAAGAAACCTTTCAAATGTCAAGAATGTGACAAATCATTTTGTATGCTTTCACATCTAACTCAACATAAGATAACTCACACTGGAGAGAAACCATATAAGTGTGAAGAATGTGGCAAAGCTTTTACTCGATCTTCAACTCTTACTACACATAAGAGAGTTCATACTGGAGAGAAACCCTATAAATGCGAAGAATGTGGCAAAGCCTTTACTCGATCCTCAACTCTTGCTATGCATAAGAGAGTTCATACTGGAGAGAAACCCTACAAATGTGAAGAATGTGGCAAAGCCTTTAAACAGTATTCAAACCTTACTAGGCATAAAAAAATTCATAGTGAAGCAAAACCATTCAAGTACGAACAGTGTGGCAAAGCTTTCAAACTATCCTCCACCTTTACTATGCATAAAATAATTCATACTGGAGAGAAACCCTACAAATGCGAAGAATGTGGCAAAGCTTTTAACCGATCCTCCACCGTTACTGTACGTAAGATAATTCATACTGGAGAGAAACCATACAAGTGTGAAGAATGTGGCAAAACTTCTAACCGTTCTTCAGACCTTACTAAACATAAGATGGTTTATACTAGAGACCAATCCTACAAATTTGAAGAATGTGGCAAAACTTTTAACCAATTTGCAACTCTTACTACTCATAAAATCATTCATACTGGAGTGAAACCTTACAAGTGTGAAAAATGTGGCAAAGCTTTTAACCATTCCTCAACCCTTACTATCCATAAGAGAATTCATACTGGAGAGAAACCCTACAAATGTGAAGAATGTGGCAAAGCTTTTAACCGGTCCTTTGCACTTTCTAGACATAAGATAATTCACATTGGAGAGAAACGTTACAAATGTGAAGAATGTGGTAAGGCTTTTATACAGTCTTCAAGCCTTACTACACATAAAAGACTTCATAGTGAAGAGAAACCCTACGAATGTGAAGAATGTGGTAAATCTTTTAAACATTCCTCAAGCCTTACTAGTCATAAGAAAATTCATACTGAAGGGAAACCTTACAAATGTGAAGAATGTGGCAAAGCTTTTAACCGATCCTCAACCCTTACTGTGCATAAGAGAATTCATACTGGAGAGAAACCCTACAAATGTGAAAAATGTGGCAAAGCCTTTACCAATTCTTCACACCTTGCTAAACATAAGAAAGTTCATACTGGAGAGAAACCCTAAAATTTGAAATTTGAAAAATGTGGCATAGCTTTTAACCGGCCCTGAACTCTTACTAGACATAATTCATACTGGAGAGAAACCCTACAAATGTAAAGAATGTGGCAAAGCTTTTAACTGATCCTCAACTCTTACTATGCATATGATAATTCATACTGGAGAGAAACCCTACAAGTGTGAAAAATGTGGCAAAGCCTTTAATAAGTCCTCAAACCTTACTACACATTAGAAAATTCATGAGAGAAAATCTACAAATGTGAAAAATGTGGCAAAGTTTTTAACCATTCTTCAAACCTTACTGAACATAAGTTAAGCAGTTCTCGACTCTTACTCATAAGATAATTCATACTGGAGACAAACCCTACAAATGTAAAGAATATGGCAAAGCTTTTAACTGATCCTCAACGCTTACTATGCATATGATAATTCATACTGGAGAGAAACCCTACACATGTGAATAATGTGGCAAACCCTCTAATAAGTTCGCAAACCTTACTAAACATAAGAAAATGTATACTGGAGAACAGCCCTACAAATGTGAAGAATGTGGTGAAGCCTTTAGTGCATTCTCAAGCCTTACTCAACATAAGATGATTCATACTGAAGAGAAACCTTACAAATGTAAAGAATGGCAAAACTTCTTAACTACTCAAACCTTTCTAGTCAAGATAATTCATACTGGAGAGAAACCCTACAAATGTCAAGAATATGGTAAAGCTTTTAACTGATACTCAACCCTTACTATGCATAAAATGATTCATACTGCAGAGAAACCCTACAAATGTAAGAATGTGGCAAAGCCCTTAAACATGCCTCAACTCTAATGAAACGGAAAATAATAAATACTGCAGAGAAACCCAACAAATGTGAAGAATGTGGCAAAGTTTTTAACCGGTTCTCAACCCTTACAAGACATAAGAGAATTCATACTGAAAAAAAAACCCTAGAAATATAAATAATATGGCAAAGCCTTTTTTTAACATGGAGTTTCACTCTTGTTGCCCAGGCTGGAGTGCAATGGCACAATCTTGGCTCACCACAACCTCCACCTCCTGGGTTTTAGGGATTCTCCAGCCTCAGCCTCCTGAGTAGCTGGGATTATAGGCATGCTCCACCATGCCCAGCTAATTTTGTATTTTTAGTAGAGATGGGGTTTCTCCATGTTGATTAGGCTGGTCTCTAACTCCTGAACTCAGGTGATCTGCCCACCTCAGCCTCCCAAAGTGCTCGGATTACATGCGTGAGCCACCATGCCTGGCCACCTCAAACTTTCCTAAACGTAAAAGAAATCATAGTGGTGAGAAATTTTAGAAATGTAAAAAATGTGACAAAGCCTGTAAATGATTGTTGCACTTGATTGTTGGTAGAGTAGTTTATACTGGACAAACTTTTTTTTGTTTTTGATGGAGTCTTGCTCTGTTGATAGGCTGGTGCGCAGTGGTGCAATGCCTGCTCACTGCAACTTCCAGCTCCCTGATTTAAACGATTCTCCTGCCACAGCCTTCCCAGTAGCTGAGGTTTCAGGCACACACCACCACACCCAGCTAATTTTTGTATTTTTTAGTAGAGACAGGGTTTCACAATGTTGGCCAGGATGTCTCAATCTCCTGAACTTGTGGTCTGCCCACCTCAGTTTCCCAAAGTACTGGGCTTACAGGTGGGAACCACCGTGCCTGGCTGTACAAACTCTTAAAAGTGTGAAGAATGAGGCAAAACTTTTAACCTATACTCACACTTATTACCAGGAAAGCATTTATTTATACTTCAGAAAAAATGTATAAATGTAAAGGCTGTGGAAAAGGCATTAATATCTTCTCACATGTTACTCAATACTACTTAATAAAAGCATTATAAATGCAATTACCATCAAAAGATCTTTCAGAAAATACAAGCTTTTAAAGTGATGATGTGTATTTATGTTGACAAACATTACAAATATAAAGAGGATTGTAATACGTTTATTTGTATCACAGATCTTAGTGTAAATGTTTTTTTTTTTTTTTTTGAGACGGAGTTTCGCTCTTGTTACCCACACTGTAGTGCAATGGCGCGATCTCGGCTCACCGCAACCTCCGCCTCCTGGGTTCAGGCAATTCTCCTGCCCCAACCTCCAGAGTAACTGGGATTACAGGCACGCCCCACCATGCCCAGCTAATTTTTTGTATTTTTAGTAGAGACGGGCTTTCACCATGTTGACCAGGATGGTCTCGATCTCTTGACCTCGTGATCCACCTGCCTCGGCCTCCCAAAGTGCTGGGATTACAGGCTTGAGCCACCGCGCCCGGCCCTAGTGTAAATGTTTTGTACTAGAGGAAAACCCTGAAACAGTTGCTGAAACTTTAACATCAGAGAATTTATATTGGAGAAAACTCCAAATGTATAAATTTGAAAAAACATTTTTTCAAAAACTACAACTTAGACAACACCAGAGGGTTCATACTAAGATATTTTTTTTGTGAATGCTGTAAGTATGAAAAAATATTTAATTCAAAATTGAGTCTATGTAAGTATCAGAGAATTCACAGTAGAAATAATTAAGGTGGCCAGGTATGGTGGCTCATGGCTGTAATCCCAACACTTTGGGAAGCTGAGGTGGGTAGATCACAAAGTTAGGAGTTTGAGACCAACAAATGGTGAAACAGTATCTGTACTAAAAACACAAAAATTAGCCAGGCTAGGTCGCACACACCTGTAATCCCAGGTACTCAGGAGGCTGAAGCAGGAGAATCACTTGAACTCGGGAGGTGGAGGTTACAGTGAGCCAAAATCACACCACTGCACTCCAGCCTGGGTGACAGCAAGACTTCGTGTAAAAAATAAAATAAAAATAAAAAACTAAGGCATAGATACTTTAGGCATTACACTAAATCAGAGTGTTGAGTTTAAAAAATAATCCCAAACTAATATTGGTAGGTAGATAGATTATTTGTATACAACTTTAAAAGTAGAGTTATTTTTTGGAATGTTATATTCATAGTATATTATTTTTCCTGGACAAAAAGTAGATAGTTTTCTAAAAGCTAATGATGTAACTAATCTCTGAAATTATGTCATGCTATTTCTTCATATTGTAATCGCATGTGATCAGTTGTCACTGCATCAAGATATAAGATATTCTTTTTTTGTTAGATGAGCATTATTCGTGACTTTCTATAGAAGAGTAAGGTCATGAAAATGGAATATGCATAATGAAATCTAAGTGGAGACGCTCCTATTGAATGATGCATGAGGTAGGTGTTCAAAGTAATGTTCTTCCGCATTATATTGAGAAAACTTTTAAGTTTTGTTAAAATTAAATTAGTAGTATATCATTTTCCTAAATACACTTTAATAAAATGCCGTACGTTTTAAAATTTTAAGATTACATGGAAAGTTAATTTTTTAATTAAACTTTTTTTAATACGTTAAGACTATTGTGTATTCGATGAAAGAGTGTTCTTATGCCACCACCTTTTTTTTCTTTTTTTAAGATGGAATCTCGCTCTGTGGCCAGTCTGGAGTGCAGTGGCGCTATCTTGGCTCACTGCATCTTTTGCTCCCAAGTACAGGCGATTTTCTGCCTCAGCCTCTTGAGTAGCTGGGACTACAGGTGTGTGTCACCACGCCCAGCTAATTTTTGTATCTTTAGTAGAGACAACGTTTTACCATGTTGGCCAGGATGGTCTTGATCTCGACCTCGTGATCCACCTGCCTCAACCTCCCAAAGTGCTGGGATTACAGGTGTGAGCCACTGCATCTGGCCTGTTATGCCACTAACTTTAACCTAACCCATCTTACTTAATGGTGTAGGTAAAAGTAACAATATACTATTTGGTAACATAATGGACTAACATCTCTAGTAATCTTTTTGTCAGTAGCTTTCAACTGCAAATAAGTTAAAAATTTTTAACTTTGCTGGGTCCAGGCACAGTGGCTCATGCCTGTAATCCTAGCACTTTGGGAGGCTGAGACAGGTGGATCACCTGAGGTCAGGAGTTTTAGACCAGCCTGGCCAATATGGTGAAAACCCAGCTCTACTAAAAATAGAAAAATTAGCTGAGGATGGTGGTGGATGTGTATAATTCCAGCTGCTTGGGAGACTGAGGCAGGAGATCACTTGAACCTGGAGGGCAGAGATTGCAGGGAGCTGAGATCTCGTCCCTTCACTCCAACAAATGAAAAAATATATATACATATATTATTCATATATTTATGCATTAAACTATATATGCATGCTGTAGGTTTCTGTTTTAAAAATTTTTTTGTACGTAGTATGTGTATATATTTACGCCGTATTTATGTCTTTTTTTTTTTTTTTTTTTTTTTTTTTAAGATGGAGTTTTGCTTTTTCGCCCATGCTGGAGTGCAGTGGCACGATTTTGGCTTACTGCAACCACTGCCTTCTGGTTTCAAGCAATTCTGCCTCAGCCTCCCAAGTAGCTGGGATTACAGGTGCTCGCCACCACACCCAGCTAATTTTTATATTTTTAGTAGAGATGGCGTTTCACCATGTTAGTCAGGCTGGTCTCAAACTCCTAACCTCTCGATCTGCCCGCCTCAGCCTCCCAAAGTACTGGGATTACAAGCATGAGCCACTGCCCACGGCATACAGTTTTTAGTTTTAGCCACGTAAGTGTAGCCAAATCCTTGGTGATTTTCTCAGAAAAAATTTGGAGATCATGGCAGCTTTCGGGTTTCAACATGTCTTAGTATTTTGCATGCAAACTTAACTGTGTTCAGAGGGGCCAGTCATGGGATCACAAGCAACACCTGCCCTTTTGCTCTCATGCCATTACCATCGGCACCAGAAGCTTCAGGTTCCCAAGCTTTAAGTAAAAGCCTTAAACTGCATTGGCTCCTGCCATGCACTGTGCTGTCTGCAGAACAGTGTTCAATAACAAAATTCTTAAGATTATGACTGACAAAATGAAAAAAAATAGCACAAAAACTATTTTCGATACTATCAGCCAGGTTTATGACAAAGACAAGACATTTCATACATTGTTATCTTTCTTTTTTTTTTTTGAGACGGAGTTTCACTCATGTTACCCAGGCTGGAGTGCAATGGCGCGATCTCGGCTCACCGCAACCTCCGCCTCCCGGGTTCAGGCAATTCTCCTGCCTCAGCCTCCTGAGTAGCTGGGATTACAGGCACGCGCCACCATGCCCAACTAATTTTTGTATTTTTAGTAGAGACGGGGTTTCACCATGTTGACCAGGATGGTCTTGATCTC